ATCATCATTAGAGGAACTTATTTTTAAAAATTCTCCCAATTCCATTTCCCATACAATATTAGTTTTTGTACTTCCTTCTGATTAAAAAGAAAATAAACATGATATAAAAAAAAATTTGTTCTACCATTTTTTACCTATTTTGAAAATGCATTTTCCTGTCTCCTTGTAATTTCTCTAGTTATTTATTAGCAGGTCCAAGTTGCATTCTATTCCTTCACATGGCCATACCATATTTAGCCACTTTTCTGTTATTGGCTAATTCCAGTGGATTTTTTTTCTGTGTGTGCGTGTGCCATTATAAATAATGCTGCTATAAATATCTTTGTACATATAGCTTTTTTCTCCTTTTAAATGATATCGCTGGAATCAGGGCCCAGAAAGAGTTGATTGTTTCCTAGTTCTTGCCTTGTAAAGCAGACTGCAACTAAGAACAGTTAACAATGGAGCAAGTGAAGACAGATGTCCTCACACTAGTGCGAGTGCCCTGCATATGTACAGAATAGACGTGGATTGGCGCCTACTATGGAGTCCCTAGGAGCCCTAGAGACATAGTGGACTCGAGTCTTCCCATAGCTCCATGGGAGAAAGATGAGGCTTTCTGCTCCCCTAAAGATTTATAGCTTCGGAAAGTCTATACGGGGTTGTCGTGAGTTGGAACCGACTCCACAGCATACCACCACCACGAGCCTGGAGTTCCTGGGTGGCACAACTACTAGCTGAAAGACAGGCGATTGAAACCCACCCAAAGGCACCTTAGAAGATACACCTGGTTACTGGTTGTAACTGTATGCATTTTTTCTCAGATTAAAAAGTCTGTTAACCAAAAACCTAGAACAGTTGCCATGAAGTCACTTCTGACTCTTGGTAATCCCATGTATTGCAGAGTAGAACTGTTGGGTAGGGATTTCGTGGCTGTGATCTTTCAAGCCTGTCTTAAGGAGGCAACTCTGGGTGGATTCAAACTAGGAAACTCTTGGTTACTAGCCATCTGTGCCACCCAGGGAATCCTATAGATTATGTCCAAACCCCGTGCCTTCCAGTAGATTCCAACTCACGGCGACCACATGGGACGAAGTAGAATGGCCCCACAGGGTTTTCATAGCTACCCGCCGTACAACTGTCTTCCGTGGAACATCAGGTGAGTTGGAGCTGATGACCTTTCATTTGGAAGCGTTGTGCTTAACCATTGCACCACCAGGCATCTTCCACAGAGTCAGTGAGGTTGTGATAAATACAAAGGAGAAAAACAAAGTAGAGAAAGCTGAGGGAGTTGGTGTGTGCTCTAAAGTGGAGTCCAATCTCTATGACAAAGCAGAATTGCCCCATACTGTCATCATTAAAGGGAAGTCCTAGTGTGGCGCTGTGGTGTTCTGCTGTTGGTTAATATGTTGGACTGCAAGGTCATTTTGAACTGCAAGGTTGGCGATTCAAGCTCACCACCCACTACTCAGAAACCCTATTACAGGGTCGCTATGAGTTGAAACCAACTCGATACCACCGGACAACAACAGTGTGGTGCTGTAGGATACCCACTGGACTGCTAAGTACAAGGTCGGAGGTTCAAACCCACGAGTTGCTCTTTGGAAATCCTATACAGGATCCAACAGACTCAATGGCACTTAACAACAACAATCATTAAGGGAGAAGATCACCAGGTCTTTCCTCTTGTAGGTCCGCCTCTACCTACCCAATAGCAATGGAACACTGAACTATTGCGCCACCACGTCTCCCATTCTAGAGTACAAGCTTTTTATTCATTTTGTTTGTTTGACTTTGGTGGTGGTGGTGCTTATGTGCTGTGGAGTCTGTTCTCACTCATAGCCACCCCGTGTAGGGATTCTGAAGCTGTAAATATGGGAGCAGGAAGTCTCATCTTTCTCCCTCCGAGTGGGTTGCGGTTAGCAGCCCAGTGTTTATTCTCTAGAGCCACAGCTGTCAGAGCCACCGAGGTCCCTTTCACAGTGAGAGCAACTTTGAAATAGGGGGCTTAGAGAAGGCCTCACTGAAGAGAGAACTTGGAACAGAGAGATAATAGTTGCGAAGTCTGGAATAGAGCATTCCAGACTGATGGGAGCATGCAAACCCCTAAAGGGATGTTTGTAGGCCGGCTTGGTAGGAGGGTGGGAGGGTGAGGACAGAGAGGGAATCTCGACCATTCTGTGGATAACAGTGGGGGCATTTTAAGGATTGGGCTTTCCTTCCAGGTAGATGGGGAGCCATGAGAACGCACGCACCCCAGGGGAGGAGGATCGGGATCCCAGGCAGAAGGCGAGTGGCCGATTTCCATGCATTTAACCCTTGGCCTGTAGTCCTTGTGTGGTGCTGTAGGATCAGCACTGTACTGCAAACCAAAAGGTTGGCAGTTCAAATCCACCATTTGCTCCATGGAAATCCTGTGCAGGGTTGCTATGAGAACAGACTTGACTGCACTAAACAACTCCTTGGTGTGCCCCAGACTTGGAGTTTAAATCGTCCATTAACTCTTAGGAAGTTGGGAACCTAGAGAGAATGTGAAAATTTCCAGGGAGATCAGGAAGTCCAAAAGATAAAAGCTTGTGATGGCCTGATTCGAATTAGAAAAGTTGCCGTTTGGAGCTCTTTAGCGCTTGGAGCTGGGGTAGTGGTCCTATCACCCTACTGAGGTGTTTTGTGGCCTCTGGCAAGTTTGTAAATATCAAGCAGCCTCAATTACTTCATCTGTAAAATGGGCTAAAGGCCTCATAGCATCCAATGTCTCAAAGCATCCAATGAAATCATGCGGAAAGCGCCATTTAAATACCATTCTTTTTATTGTTTACAAGGAGTCCTGGTGTGGTGCTGAGGGTTAATGCGCTGCATTGCAAGGTCCTTTGAACTTCAGCGTTGGTGGTTCAAACTCAACAGCCGCTTCTCAGAAACTCTATAAAGGGTCGGAACCAACTCAAAGGCACTTAACAACATTTGTTTACAAAGGAGTCTTGGTGTGGTGCTGTGGGTTAATGCGCTGGACTGCAAAGTCGGTTTGAACCACAGGTTGGAGAGGTTCAAGCTCACCAACTGCTCCTTAGAAACCCTATAGAAGGTCGCTGTGGGTCGGAACCGACTCGATGGCACTTTAACAATAACAATTGTTTACAAAAAGCAAATGGAAAAAATGGAGCTGACTTCAGACGGTTTAATTTGCATAGCACTTTGAAACTAATTTTTTAAGAAAGGGCCAAACACGGGTTTACCTCCACCGTGGTGGGTTGGAACCCGCCTCTCTCACCTAGCGCCAGCGGCAGGGCAGGGAGCGGTGGGGCTCGGTGGGGACAGGAGGGAGGAGGAAGGTGTGCTGGGATCTGGGGTGGGGTCGGGGCGCTCTCCCCTCGTCTCTGGGCCGGGTTCTCAGCCAGTGTAGGGCTGTGAGCGGCTGTAGGGAGCGGCGAGGGAGACAGGCGGGGCGAGTGGCGCGACGCGGCCGGGGCGGAGCCCTCCCCGCCCTCGCTCCACCCGCCGTGGCCCCAGGTTCCCGGCCTCGCGCCGCGCGCTCTTTCTCCGACAGCTGCCCGGGGGAGTCCTGCACATCGTGCCGCGTCCTATCCCGTCTGTCCCACCCGCCGCCGCTGCCGCACCATGACCACCCAGCAGATAATTCTCCAGGGCCCGGGACCATGGGGCTTCCGCCTTGTGGGGGGCAAGGACTTCGAGCAGCCGCTCGCCATTTCCCGGGTAAGTGCAGCCGGGGACGCGCGCGAGCGCCAGGCGCTCGGGGGCCAGGTGGCGGCGCGCCGGGTAGTCTTGGGAAGACTGGGTCCCCGCGGGCGCTGTCGGACCCGGTGGCTGGTGGTGCACGGGATGGAGCCGGGACGCGGCGGCGAGTCCAGGTGCACCGGATGCGCTATGCACTGGGCGCTGGGCACTCTCCGAGCGTTTGGGGCCGGTCGCTCCCGCTGCCCGGTCCGCGGTGCTGCGGTTCCCTGCTAGCCGGCAGGCAGCCGGCGCGCACTTGCGGTCTGGGCAAAATAGAAAAAGGCAGTTTGGTTCCTACGCCCCGGAAGCGCGGCCCGCGTGTGGACGCGCTTTGTGAACCTACTGCGACTTGAGGGCCCTAGCAGATCGCGCACGTTAGGAGATGGGACTTCCCAGGTCTCCCTTGACTTAGAGTGGCAAAAGCAGTTTGGAAGCGGCAGGAAAGATCTGGAAAAAGAAGTGGAATGGGTGGAAAGTTAAAACTGTGTGGCGGGTGGGGTTAACAAAACAACAATCGAAACTAGTTTTCCTCTTGGGGACTTGATAATGGCCCGAAAAAACCTAGTATTGGAACCAAACAACCCCCTTGAGATTACTTTCTTGGTCATTCCTTCGTTCTCCTTCGGGAGGTGACCATTCTATCTTTAAGCCAGGTATTCCGAAATTAGCATCCTTCCAACCGTTTTTCCTCAGGGGATGAATGGGAGTTGGTACTGGGGTGGGATGAGGTGCCCATCCTGGGTGTTCTATGTGTTTTGGAGGGGGTGTTGCCTGAAAAATTAAAAGGTCTTATCTGCTTGGAAGGGCCCAGGCTCCATTTGTGACCGACAGACCTATCATCCCTAAATGAAGTGGAAACCCCAGGGAAATCCAGAATAAGCTATTCAAGTGTGGAAGCCCAGGCTTTGATTGTTGTTAGGTATGGTCAAGATGCCGATTGCCACGCAGAGTGACCACATCTGACTGTGGTCACAGTGTAGAACTGCTTCCTGGGGATCCCCAGATTTTTCTCCCAAGAAGCTATTGAGTGGGTGGGTTTGAACTGATGACCTTTTATTGCCTAGCTCTATTGTTGCTGTTTGGTCCCTTCCAGTAGGTTCCAATTCATAGTGACCCTCTGCCTAGCTCTGCTGTTACTGCTGTTAAGTGCTGTGAAATGAGTTTGACTCATAGCGACCCTGTATAGGATTTCCGAGGAGCAGCTGGTGAGGTTGAACTGCCGACCTTGTGGTCCAAAATGACCTTAAGGTCCAGTGTTTATCCTGCAGTACCACACCAGGACTCCCTGCCTAACTCTAGTGTGGCTCAAACACGAGCTGATGACTTACTTCAAGTTGCCACATTCATTCATTGTACCATCGAGTTGGTTCTGACTCCTAGTGACCCTGTATAGGGTTTCCAAGAGATAACTGGTGGTTTTGAACTGTCGATCTTGTGTTTAGCAGTCCAGTGCTTATCCTGCAGGGCTAAGAAGGCATCAGTGACTGGTTTTTGCTTGAATGAAGGGTGCACACCCTTGGCGGTAGCTGGCCACGCCCTACGCCCTGCTGGAAGGCCCATCTGACTGCATAGCACACCTCAAACTTGCCACCCAAGCCTTCTAAGCAGTCGGATTCCTTGAGCAGGCCTGAAAAGTGCCTACAAGTCTTTTGACTTAAGTCCACACACTTCCAGTAGCTGAAGGAGTTTGGTAGGAGGTGCAGGAGAAGAATCCGGGCCTCTTCTTGGTGTCTCTGCCAGTTCCAATTCTACCCACCCTTCTTTCTAGGTGGGCTTGACTTAATCGGGAGGCCTACTCTGACGATTGTGCAACCCAAGGAGTAGGCAACCCAGTTCTTAGCTCTGTCCCTCACCTACACACCTTGTCCTGCCAGATGTCTTTGATTATTGTCCTAGGTACACACTGTCTTCCCAGCCACCGACTGAATTTCTCAATACTAGAAACTGTGCTTTCCCCAAATCTAGACCCCCACTCCCACGCCTGGCACAGAGCGGAAACTGGCTGTGTGTCTTACTAATAAATGCTTGCCCTGGGAGGACATTGCCTCTGCACATTTAGATTCGCTTACCTCATACATAGTCCTTTTGCCCTGGCTCTTTGTGTCTATAATTAACCTGTCAGCCCTCTCCACTTCGCAGATTTATATGTGACATGAAGCCTTTTTTTAAGTCGTTAGAGGCTGTATTGGCAATCTGTTAAAAGGGCAGCTATCACCTGTCATTTAAAAATCTGAATGTAAGTGGCAGCATCATGTAGGAATGATGGTATGAGGTGGGAAACAACTAACTGTGAATGCATTAGTTTGGACCTTTCTATATTCATCCATTCATTCATCGATCAGCACATGTGTGATGAGTACATACCATGCCACTGTGCAAAAACCTAAAATCAAAAACAGACCAGTTCCTGTTGAGTGGATTCTGACTGTTGGTAACCCCATGTGCATCGCAGTAGAACTGTGCTCCAGAGGGTTTCACAGCAGTGGCCTTTTAGAAGCAGATAGCCAGACCTTTCTTCCTAGGCTCCCCTGAGTGGGTTTGAATTACCAACCTGTTAGCAGCTGAGCGCTTACAACCCAGAGGCCTTATACAAAGCCCTTGTTGTTGTTATTAAGTAACATCAGAGCTGGTTCCAACTCATAGCCACCCTGTCTGTGTAGGGTTTCTGAGGAGCAGCTGGTAGGCTTGAACCACTGACTTTATGGTTAGCAGTGCAGTGCTTTATCCTACAGAGTCACACCAGGACTCCTACAAAGCCCTGTTGCTGTTGTTAAGTGCTATAGAGTCGGCTCCTACTCATAGGGACCCGGTTTAGGGTTTCCGAGGAGCGACTGTGGGTTTGAACCATGGCCTTGAAGTTCAAAACGACCTTGCAGTTCAAATGGACTTTTGCAGTCCCGTGCAGTGCATTATCCTGCAGTACCACACCACGACTCTCAGACAAAGCCCCAGGACCAAGAAATGAGAGGAAACACCTCCATTTTCAAAATGCTTTTGGTCTAGTGAGGGAAGATGATGTTTTTTTTCTTGTGGGTGGAGAAGCTAGTCTTTACAACACCCTTTGGAAGGCGCTTTAAGGGACGAGTGAAAGTGACTCAGAGGAGGTGACATTCTCAAGCTGATAGTAATCTATACTTCTTTCATCATTTCATTGTTTCCACATGAAAAAAGGGTCACCCTGCTCTGGGAATGGGAAAATTCTTATCTTAAAGGGACCCTGAGCTTGTGTGTATGTGTGTGTGTCTCCGGTCCTGAGATATGCTGCTGACTGGCTTTCTGCTTTTTACTGGAGCTGTACCTGGAGTGAGATTCTTTATTTTTACAATGGGGATAACATCAGCCTCGGACTACTGGCATGATGTGTAGGATAAACACTGGACTGTTAACCACAAAGTCAGTGGCTCAAACCCACCAGCCACTCCTTGGAAACCCTATGTGGCTGTTGTTGTTGTTGTTGTTGTTGTTGTTGTGAAATGCTGTCAAGTCGGTTCCAACTCATAGCGACCCTGTATAGGGATTCCAGGAGGGGCTGGTGAGTTTGAACTGCCCACTGTGTAGACAGTCTTGGACTGTGAGTTGGTTATATGAGAATGCCCTGTAGTCAGGAAGTGTGATCAGTGACAAGAATTATTCGAACCCTCTGGGTGGTAGCTGTACTACATTATTATTCTGGGCAGAAAGAGTTTGCTAGTATGGTTTTGTATGTGTAGACTTCAAGTCTCCACACCAAAGTAAACCATAAAATTAGGTTGGGAGAGAGGAGTGCCTTTTATTTAAATAACTATGTTTGCTTTCTCTTGCACGAATTATTCTGGTATTGGCTCAAGTCTTCTGTTAAATTGCTAAAGCTTCTGAATATAACTGTCTGATTTTATGTACTGAAATGTTTGCTTTTTTCTTTTCTGGCTTATTATTATTCTTTTATTATTGTGAAATAAGTATAATACAAAAGGCCATAAAACAAATACATAGGAAATGACTATAAAGCAAACTCCTCTATAATCCCCACCCAGGACAAGAGCTAGAACACTGTCAGTCCCTCAGAAGCTTAGTAAATGTAACCACTAATCTGGATTTATGGTAATCACCTCCTGGCTTTTCTTTATAGTTTTATCACCTACATATGATCCTGAACACCAGTGCTTAGCTTTGCTTGGTGTATGAATAGCATCATGTGCACAAATGAACGCTGCCCAGTACTGCACCATCCTGTGATCGGTTGCCAGTCAGACTATTGTGATCCATAAGGGTTTTCATTGGCTGGCTTTTACAAGTAGATGGCCAGACCTTTCTTACTGTTCTCTTAATCTGAAGTTCCACTGAAACTTGTTCAACATCAGAACAACACCCAAGCCTCTACTGACAGTCAGGTGGTAGCTACATTGGAAGTGAATTGTCTGGTACTCGAACTTGGGTCTCCAATATGGAAGGGGAGAATTCTAATACTAAAGCCACCACTCCCCCCAAACAAAATCTTACAGAATGTGTTTTTGTTGTTGTTGTTGAATAGCTTCTTTCACTCCTCAATGTTTTCCTTCTTTGTAGCATTGTAGGACAGGCACGGGACTGCACACCCCAAGGTCAGTGGTTCAAACCCGCCAGCTGCTCCTTGGGAACCCTAAACAGGGTTGCTCTGAGTTGGAACTGACTTGATGACACTTAACAACAACAACCTTGTGGTAAACTTAAAACTTCAGTCCTGATTTTTAAGTTAGAATGGGCATAAACTAGCTTTTTTCCTTAGCCAGTTTCCCATTTAAGGCCCAGCCTAGGCTCCTGATGGACCAGGCATGTTTGCTACCATACGCTGAGATTTTTCCTCTGTCGGTTCCTGCTCCAAGCCTACAGTTGTCCATCTCCTTGAACTTTCTTTTTCCCATGTCAATTTCTTATTTCCTCTAGTTGCTTACAAGGGAAACCTTCAGAGAACCCATTCCATACCCAGGCCAAAATTGTAGCTCAGTTTGTGTAGACTATTT